AATGTTATAAAGCATATGCGGTGGGAGAGCAATAAAATCCTTATGACAAGGGATTATAGTTGTTTTGCACTGGAATAATATTGCGGACAGATAGCAGAGGACCAGGAAATGTTTCGAAAATTCGAACTGCTACGTACCGTACGCTGGTAACCAAAAGTATGCATTATGGTCAAACTATTTAGATTGCATTTCATGTGATGCTGACGTTTTGCCGCAGTAGGATTCTTTGGGTGCCTTGCTAGTTGGAATCAATGCACTGGGGTTAAGGATTGGATTTGCTTGTAGATTATGAAAGTGACATCTCCTGCTGTGTCGTGGTGCCTTGGTACTTTTTGCCCTTTAACACGTGACGTCAGTATCGTTTTCGTACAGGCGCTCGACTCGTTTCATATGGGGTTGCATTCCCTATAATTTTCCTCAAACACTTGCATGAAAAAAACATTTTATTAAGTTAAGTTATTCCAAGATGTAAGATTGTTTTTTTTTGTTTAATTGTATATAAGAAAGAAACAATCCAGAAATACGATGGTCTTATAATTTTGAAAGACGATTTATAAGAGATAAGAGGTGCAAAGAATAATCTATATTATTAATATTATAAAGCTGAAGAGTTTGTTTGTTTGTTTAAACGCTCTAATCTCAGGAACTTCTATGGTTCGAATTCAAAAATTCTTTTTGTGTTGGATAGTCCATTTGTCGAGGAAGGATTATAAACATTACGGGAGCGGAAAAGCAATGAAAAATATTGCAAAGGTGGGGAAATGAAATGGAGACGAATTGCGCGGGTCAGCTAGTATAACAAATAAAAGGAATTAAAATAAAACTAAGCTCTGGGTTTCCAGTAGTATTATTTTAGTATGGCAACATTATCTATTAGTTTCAATGTGAGTATTAGGAGTACCTTGCTTTAACTGTTAGTTTGTTTGTTCATAACAGAAGGTGGTCTTTGCACTCTTGCTTTCCGTAGCAATATAATGTCTTATTCAAAGTATTTGGTACTAGTACAGATTAAAGTAGGATTTCTATGTTTTGGTCCCCATTACTAATAATCCCCTCTCACAAATTAGTCAAGCGTTAGTCATCATGACTCACTTTTATGTTCGGAGAGGTCGTAGATAAAATGGCCGTGAACACTGTTCAGAGGGTAGAGAAAAATCAATAGTACATGTGATATTTTAGTGCAGGAGCGAGTTGGTTTAATAAATAATTTTTGTTACATCAATGAAAATAGTAGGTTACAATTTGACATACATCTAAAGGACATATGAGTGACATAAAAACATTGCGTTTATTTTTTTTGTGTCGCCCGTTCCAGATCTTTGTGCATCGGGAGTCTTTAGCGGTTTAACACATAGCAGTACTTCATTTATGGTGGTGGTTTACTGGGATATCTATGTACATATATTACGTATTTATTAATAAAAATATATATCTATATATTCACATCAGTTGTCTAGTACCTATACCACATGTTCTGCTTAGCTTATGACTGTATAGCGCTATGTGAATAGTTATGAGATATAATTATTCTTTCTTCTTTTTATTTCTAACTGACTTTGCAGTAATGGAAACAGAAATAAGAAATCATTATTAATCTGAGATTTTAGGTCATCCGCCTTCTCCTTCTTCTTCTGCTTCAAACTTTGATGTTTTCTCTTTTGTTCATATGGAAATCACCATCCTACGGCTCCGGTAAGAGGGGAGTCTGCGGGATACCTTGGATAACAAAATGTTCTATCAGATATCACGTGATATCTGATAGAACAGAGGAGATAACTTCTTTTTGCGTTTCATATGATTTTCTACGACATTTTTGGACTCAAAATCGATATTATCGGTTATAATTTTGTTATCCAAGGTATCCCGAAGATACCCTTCATACCGGAGCCGTAGGATGGCGGTGATAGTCCACTAGAACTGTACAACTTAACGAAAAGTTACTATTGCATTCGCAAAGACTTAGATACAACAAACAACAAATTAACAAATCAAAATCCGTTTCATCAACGTACAACAAGACGTAGAGAGCGGTTCCACCCCATCACTATTGACATCCCAGCTGCTCGAACTAATCGTTTTGCGTCATCTTTCCTTATGCGAGCAGCTAAGGAGTGGAACTCTCTACCAGCGTCTATTTTTCCTGTCTCTTACAACATTGGGTCTATCAAGTCAAGAGTGAATAGGCATTACTTGAGCTTGCGTGTAACAGCTTAGACCACATCACTTAACATCAGGTGAGATTGCGGTCAAACGCGCTCAAATTTTATAATATAAAAAAAAACAACACAATTCACTATATAGTTCCAACAAATAGTTAACTAATCACATGCTTAGTTATCACGTAAATTGACGTATTTGCATCACCTATCTACGTCTTACGGCCGAGTCTTAAGTGATGCGAGTAGTAAAACGTACTACTGATAATAAACAGATGCTCCAAGAATACAAGTTACGTTGAACACTATTATTCCGATATTATCGTAAAATTGGATATAAAGACTATTTCTGTAACTGTTACACATAAAATCTATAAATACAACACTGCTTCACCTTCCGATGGTCGCAGGTTCGATTCCTGCATAATACAAATATTCTTATTATATGACTATTTGGACTATTTGGACTGTTTGGAGTATTTTATAGGTATATTAAAGTAATTGTATCAGTTGTTTAGTAGATATAGTAGAATCCTTTAGTTAGTGACTGAATGTGCCTTGTATGACTAGTTCATAGTTAATATTTTTTTTTGTACATTAAAAAAAATGTCAAAGAAAAGAAAGATATGAAAAGAATATTCATTTATTTATTCCTTTGCATTTCATAATGTCACAATAAAGTTTAATATAATATTATTATAAGAGCACTATGGATACTGATAGCGAGCAGCAAATAACGATGTGGTTTTAACAGACTTCATTATTTTGAATATTTTGTTCTGATTTATGTGTAAATAATATTTTTTACTGATTTTATTATTTACAAGTTATCTACCAAAAAATCATTAATATTCTAATAGAAAAAAAAATTTAGTCTTTCTAAGTTATATATAGAAAAATATCCTTTTGTTAACTTCGAACTGCAAGTTTGTTTGTTATAAAAGGATATATAAAATATATGTTAATTTCTATATGTTTGAGACGATATATAACAGATTATTATAATGAAGTTTCTAATTATAATGATAATATATATTATATATATATATATTTCTTTAATTATGCTAGTAATTTCAATTTTTGCATATAGGTAGCTTGTGTTATGGGTACTAGATAACAGATACAAATACATAGATTTTTTTTCGTAAATACATATATATTATACATAGAAAAAACCCAGACCGATTAAAACAATCATACTTAAGAATGTTATATGTATATAAAGAGAGAAACAATAAAATTCTAATTCAAAATTTTAATTGTAATGGCTGTGAAATAACTGTGCAAAGGGGCATAAAATCATGGTCGTGACGGAAGATTGCTCGAAATGGAGAATAGAGCTCAAGATTCATTGTCATTCCCGTCCACTACGGATGAAGAATGACTTTACATCGTTAGCGCAAGCGTGGTGGACACCAACTTAATTCGGTCTCCCACTTTTCCTTTAGGTTGTAAAGTTTTTCGTATTAGTTTTATAAATACACTACTCGCCTCGGTTTTGCACGGGTGTACATATATTATACATATAAACCTTCCTCTTGAATCACTCTATGATAATTGCAAGAAACAATATTAAAGTAAAGGAACGTGCTGACATTGTTAGACTTTCTATTGAGTGTTGTACAGAAATCTCATGTATAGAACTAGATAATTATATACTTAAATGTGTTTACAGGCCTCCTAATAGTGATTACAATGTATTTGAAGAGGTGATGGAGGATGTATTAAAAAAGTATTTAAAAAAATATTGTGTGTGGAGATTTTAATGTTGATATTCTTTTCTATTCTATCTATTTAAAAAAACCGCTTCAAAATCTGTCGCGTAGTTTTAAAGATTTAAGCATATATAGGGACGGACAGACAGCGACAGCGACTTTATTTTATACTATGTAGTGATGTATTCCGTGTTAGTTTTATATATATATTTTATCATTGGCTTTCAGATTGGTATATCATTTATTTATATTTATATCTTCAACTATCATTCACTGCACCACTCATGGTTGACTGGTAGATAATACCGCAAGGTGTTAAGTCCGCAATAAATAGTACACTTACATTGGTATTATGTTCTTTAAAGTTATGTAAATAATTATATCTTTTACAGATTACGCTTTAAATCTATTCAAGCCAAAATTTTACGAAAGTAATTGATTACATAAAATTTTAGTTTTGTTTTAGCTATCTCTTAAATAGCTTATGGGTTGTATATTACAATTTTGAAATATTAATAAAACCACAGATAACATAAATGATAAAACTAATTTATGATTGCAGTATTTTTAAAACTATATAGGATGTTTTTTATTCTTCTTTGTGCTTCAGCAATTTGGGTTGCCTATATTAAGCTATGTTTAATAATGGCAACCCAAATTACTGAAGCACATCGTATATATAATATATCGTATATATATCTTAAATACTTAACTATTTAGTCCATTTTTAAAGATAGTGGCAATGTACAGAAAAGTTAACGCCAAATTTAACGGAATATTACATGAGTACTGTCATTTATTATGTAAAGAAACACGTTTGTGTAGTTTGATATTCTGAACTCAATTCATAGCAGGTAAGTATATTACGTGAAACCCAAGCAGTTGGGTATGTGAGCAAAATATTACCGCAAATAAATCACTTAAATCACATATAGAGCAGCAATCCGAATAACTATACTTAAATATGTTTATTTTTATTTATCGCAGCCAATTTTTGGGACAATTAAAAATAGCCCAGCCCAGTGTCCACTGAAAATATGACACAATTCAGTGAAGAAACACCGGTAGAATAGGAAAACACGCGGCGACATCGCGCCCGACCCGAGACCAGTTCGCCCTACAACTTTTCACGCGTTGGTCGACACCTACGCGCGGACGTCCCTCGAATAAGATGTGACCTAAAAATAATTAAAAACCAATCACGTCATACACATCTAGGGCTCGACGTTTAAAAAAAACATAAGTGCTCTGTGCTCAAGGACAATGAAGTGTATGTGTGAATGGATTTGGCTGAATGGCGCACAGTTTTGGCGGCAAACCGGTGTGACAGCGCGGTTGACGGATGATCTTCGCGCGCTCCTTCAGGTGCGTTCAAGTAACTCGAGCTGATAAAAATAATGATCCGTGATGAATGTCGGCAATTGTTGTGACTTCTGAACAAAAACAACTGCATTTATTATCGTTATAACTATAGTTAAACTATATTTACATAATCCTGAACTATTTTTGTACTTGTAGGTTGAAATTTATAGAGCAATAACAGTTCTCCTATTTGAATAACTATAGTACTTATTTTATTACCTTTACATAATCAGATATAATAGAAAACTAGAGATATACTATTAAATTTCCTGAACTGGCACTTGATAACATTAAATTATTAATCAAACGGATTCCATTTTTTTTAAAAACTATTATTGCGTTTCGTTATTGTTATAATTCTTATATTATTAATTACTTGCCATAAATCCTTGATTTTTACATAATAAAAATGACATATAGTTTGCATATAATAAAATAGTTTATTTTCATTTATTTTTACGTGTCTTTATAGTCAGAACTAATTTATAAAAAGACAGATAGCCCTTTTAAACTGTCAACATTAACCTACGCTTAATTTTTGATCTGTGGTCATTAATTATAAGTGTACGGTGATAGCTTTAAATAAGATTTGATATTATTGCAGAAAATATTTGCCAGATATGATTAGTATGCGCAGCGCGACGCACGTGGCTCCGCGCTTGGGATAACAAGTGCTTCTATTTCAGTTTTGACGGTACGGACATTGTGTCCTTGATAAATTGTGTCCCTGATTAATTGGAACGTAATGTTGCCGTGTTCTGTGTTTTGTTTCTGTGTTGCCAGTGTTTTGGATGGACAGTGGATCCGCGTAAGTCCGTAATGCATGCACTAGTAATTAGGAATGCACTTATATTAGGAATTATTGAGAATTTTTTTGTTGCATCTGGCGAGGCACCAGTGGAGGATGAAAAGATGAGCATGCGGTCAGGTCAGTTAGTTCATCATGATAAATTCACCAGAAATTTATCATGATGGTTTCCAGAGTGAACCGCGTGGAGGTCAATCTAACATGGAACATTGCTAGTAATGGAGTCATTAGTTCACAGTTACATTACGAACAATCTTTCAACCTTTTCCCCCAATTACCAAAAATTACGTTTTAATTTTTAAATCTGTGAGTTGCAGAGAGAAATATATTTATATTTTATTAAGTACTTTGTCTTTATTGCCAGTTATTTTCGGTAATAAAAACTATTACATATAAAATTAACTTTCATATGTATAATATATATATATATATATATATGATATTATATAGTACATATAAAATAATAAATGTCACATTAACATGTATCGATTTATTTTTATGGCAGCTATTTACATGTTTGCAAAATGTGCAAATTACCCAATTTCAATAAAAAGGGGCCCAGCTATATAGTCGTTAACGCTAATCATTTTAAGAGACGCGGTTTCTTTGATTATGTTTAATATTTACTTGATTGTAATAATGTTTTATTTATTTATTAGTTATATATTTACTAGCTATGCCTGCGGTTTCACTCGCGTGAAAATTTATAGCCTATGTGTTATTCTGATGTATAAGCTATATCACTGTAAATTTACAACAAAATCCATTCTGCATGAAAGAGTAACAAAGATTCATCTATACTCACAAACTTTATTTATAACTAGCTGTTCCCTCGACTTCGTCCGCGTGGAATTTCACTTTATTTTTCTAAAATAAAAGTAGCCTAAGTTACTTTTTATTACATCAGTTACCTGCCAACAAAAGTATCGTCAAAGACGATCCAGCCATTTCTGAGATTAGCCGGAACAAACAGAGACCGACAGACAGATAAAAAATGTTATTTTGGTGTATGTACCGTATATATATTAATATGCATGTAGTAAAAAACGGTTATTTCAATATTACAAACAGACACTCCAATTTTATTTATATGTATAGATATTAATAAGATAGTATAAAATTGAAGTAATTGAATAATGTTTAAGTACTATGGTAGTTAGTCTCCCTCTCCGAGTTTATTTAAGGAACCAAAAAATACGGTTTAAAGAAGTCATTCTGGGCTAACCCACCATTTTAATTTCAACAGTTCAAATCACCGTTAACCCGTAACGCATCCCAAAAAAGACATTCTTTTGTTATCGAACCCTATTTGACCGATAACAAAACCTGCACACTCTAGACCAGAGGGTGAGACATGGGTCTATGTGAGAGCATAGACAGAGTGGTGTAGCGTTCAACTTTTTACAACACTTGGGCAGTTCTTGCCGCGGCATTCGACGGTTAATGACGGCGGGGGTGCTCCCGGCCCCTCATTTAACGGTTCGTTAGCTTTATCAGCGGCATTCTCGGGTTGTTCCTGTTTTTATAGATGTTTGAATTTGTTTTAATTAACACTATTCACGAGGCCGATCAGCTACCGCTGTTGAGGGTTGAATATTGCGCCTATTAATGGTTGCATCATAACACTTATTTCTCTAATGGATAGTCGTCAACGAACATTTAAAATTTGTAATATGTTATATGTAATTGTGTTGGTGTAAACCTTGTTAGTGACCTAATAAGTTAAAAAAAGGATTTTATTCATAACTATTTTCCCGGGCCGACATCGCACGGGTGTATATATATTGTACATATACAACTTCCTTTAGAATCGCTCTGTCTATTGCTGAAAACTGCATTAAAATCCGTTGTGTAGTTCAAAAGATCTAAGCGAACACAGAGCAGAAGCGACTTTATTTTGATACGATGTAAAGATTAATATATTATTAATTATAACAACTCATAGACATATTAAAACATAATATATATCCATACAAATAAAAACCTGTAAATATCACAATAATAATAACTCTGGACAATTAACACAGCGCCATCTAGTACGACCACGATAAGCAGTGTTTGTGTTATAGGTAGTAGAGAACTAATATAAATACTTATATATATATATATTTTTCATAAATACATACATAGATATGTATAATATGTATCTATTTACGAAAAAAAATGTATCCCATGCATGAAAAACTATAGGCTTTGCTCAGTAAACATGATTTAACAGATGTTTTGAATTTATATAGGGGTGATTCCAGCATATTCTTTGGTATTTTATTGTAATTTTTTATACCTATTCTCATAAAAGACCTATTGACTTCTAAACGATACTTGAGGACAGCAAGTTTATCTTTAAATCTAGTATTAATGTTATTAATATTGCTGTTTTTTGGAAATAAGTGAAGATTTCTCTGAACATATAGAATATTTGAGTATATAAATTGAGAAGCAACGGTGAGAATATTTGCCTCTTTGAATTTCTCTCTTAATGAGTCACGAATTCTCATACACTAGATCTCTCGAATTGCACGTTTTTGTAATATGAATATATTTTTAATATCTGCAGCGTTTCCCGTATATTTAGTAAAGCGGTATGCTAAACAGCTAGATCACCGAGGTTGTCAAATACAAATATTTATACAATCATCATCATCATCATCGCAGCCCGGAATACGTCAACTGCTGGACATAGGCCCGCCAAATTTATACATTGCGGAGATTAAATTCCCGACTATAACATGATCAGATAATAGCTAATAAGATAATATTATATCAACTTGGGACTTTGTGCAAAATAATATATGGACACATAGTTAGAAATTGGAATAATACTTCCGCAATTTACGCTTGAAAGAATATCTTGTGTTCTCTTGATATCAAGGGGAAAGTCGATCAAAGTTTGACAACCTGAACGGCAAAAGAATGGTGGAGAGAACTAGACAAATGCGCTGGGACGTGGGGTAAAAGTCTTCTGGTTGTGCGAGGGTAGCGATTAATGTTACCTCATGGAAGTGAATTTTTCTACTAATGTATTTTCATTTCGATTTAAGGGATGATATACGACGGCGGGCACCAGTGGAGGATGATATGAGTTTTTTTTAGGGATGATAATGGAAAGGAGCAATCACCGGCGCTATCGGTTTACCCTGACGGGGCATCAGTGGAGGATGATAAGATGAACATGTGGTCAGGTCAGTTAGCCCATCGTGACAAATTCACTAAGAATTTATCACGATGGTTTCCAGGGGGAACCACGTGGAGGCCAACCTGACATGGTACATTGTCATGTCATGAAATTTGACATGATGGTATCTAGGGGAACCGCGTGGAGGTCAACCTGACATGGTACATTGCTAGCAATGGGATTTTTAATCCATATCTCATATAAAATTGGTACGGATGTAGGAAAGTTGATGACATAGTTTTCCAGAATGACAACTTATTAGATGTACCGAGGAAAACTTATCATAAAATTATTCGTGTTAAGACCTACATAACATATAGTTACAATATATGTATATGAACAGAGAAACAATAACTTTTTGCCACACACAAACAAGGAAAGAGCTTATTCCGTCTTAAAAGGATGGCAATACACTTGCAATACCTGGTATTACGGGTGCTCATGGGCGGTGATAATCACTTACCATCAGATGAGCCACAAGCTAGTTCGTCTCCAACATCTATTACAAAGGTACAATTATAAATTTATTATTGCTAAGATTGGTCAAGATCATTTATTATTGCTACTATCATCATATGAATGTAATTATAACATATCATGTTCGTTGTAAGCGATTGCTCTGGATTTAGACTAGGTATAAATCTACGGAGTATGGGCTCATTTCCACAATATCCGCGCGTGTTCGCACCATAAAGCGGAGCCGGCCAGATAACGTGTTACGAGCGTGATCAGCCGCTGACAAACTGCCTAATAACACCATGCAGATGCTTATGAAGATAGAGACAGGATAAGCCGCGGTTCAACCCTTTACCACCCGCTAGCGATGCGCCCCGGGCTCACACGATTCCTATCATTGTAGAGAACTCTGATTTCTAATTTTGAAATTTTGTTATATGTTTTCAAAATATGATCAACCGCTGACACATTGCCTAATAATATCATACAGATGCTTATGAAGATAGAGGCAGGATAAGCCGCGGTTCAACCCTTTACCATCCGCTAGCGATGCGCCCCGGGCTC